CCAAAATAAAAGCCTTTGACAGGCTACAGGTCAAGCTCAGACCTACAAAATTCATCGTAGGCTAGGCTGAGGCCTATTAAAACCTAATCTGGCCTGGCCTATTTTCATCCCTATCCACCACAAAGCAGGGTTGCTTAGCTCATCTTAATATTATATTATCTTAATTTGTTATATAATCCTTGAATGTTTCCATGTTTTTATTTCAAGGCTCTTTGATAAAATATTATAGGTGAAATATTTTTTTAGAGAAAAAAACGTTTAAATAGTATTTATTTTAGATTTTTTTTAGAGATAATTGTCCTTGAAATTTTAGATTTTCCTGTTCATTTCCAATTGATAGTATGTTTTCGACCCTAAAATTTTATAAGTTCAATCTCTTCTAAATTTTTATTTAACCCCTTGCATAAAATGATACCTTACGAGTTTTGATCTATTTCGATACCTAAACTTTCACATTTTTAAAACCATACATAACATTTAATTTTCATTTCATTTAAATATCTGGCGTTAAAAACAGCACATTTAATACCTTAATTATCAGTTTTGACTATTTTTAGTACTTAAACTTTTTAATTTTTTCAGAACTTAACCTAAATTTAAACGAGTTACTAAAATGGATTTTAAACGAAATACTAAAATGAAACAAAAACTAAAGATTTTAATGGCGGAATACTAAAATGAAACAAAAACTAAACTTTAAATATGATTTTGAAAAAAAATCAAAAGTTTGAGTACTAAAACAGATCAAAACTGATAATTTAGGTATTAAACACGTAATTTACCCAAAATTTTAACAATAGTTTATTTTTTTTCCTTCAAAAAATCATAATCCAACAGCGTCTAAAGACAACATCAACAGATTATCTTACGATTGATAAACACATGCCATGTGTAATTTTTCTTAAACAAACCAAACACCTAAAAAAACACTATTTATGGGGAAAATTAAAAGAAAATATTGTTACAGCACAGGAACATTCAAGGAGACAAAACAGCCACGACAACCCTGCACATAATCACAAAAGGCATTACTTTCCGTACAAAGGACTAAAAGGTTCATCATGCATCAAGTAATTCATGTTGCAGTCAGATGAGATGCAATCAACAACAGCACCGGCAGCGACAACTATGTAAATGCGCCGCTTTTACGTATCGAATGCAAAATGTTAGGACTGATTAAAAGTGATAAACAAGAATCAAAATGAGCTTTCTACCTAGTTTATCAGAAGCTTTGCAAATGTGAACTTAGATTCCGCCCGGAGACCACTTAAGCAAGGGTGGAAATATAAGTGCGAACACATAAAGCAGCTGCATATCTGTTGAGCGTCTCAAAAATGGCTTGAGGGAATAAAATAGGGCTCTTCTTTGTTTTAGCTCAAACATGTTGAGATAGGGATGGCAGTATGACCCGAACCCGACGGGGAAACCCGAAACCCGGTCAAGTTTGGGTCGGGTTGAATGATATCGGGTTCGGTTTCGGGGATTTTTTCGGGGATTTTTTCGGGTCGGGTTCGGGTTCGGGGAAAGGTATCCCCGCCCCGCCCCGATTATATATATATTTTTATATTAATTATATATAATATTTTCGGTTCGGGTATAATATTTCGGGTCGGGTTCGGGGATGGGGCAAAAAAATCCCCGACGGGGCGCCCCGATAAAAAACACGTCGGGGATCGGGTCGGGTCGGGGATTTATTTCGGGGGGACGGGGCGAGCAAAACCCGCCCCGAACCCGACCCGTTGCCATTCCTATGTTGAGATCTCTATAAATGAAGTGAAGCTTGAGATTGTATCGGCTTGTTAGAGAAGTAAACCTACTTGATCAAGCTATTAATGAGCCACCAGTACATGAAGAGCTCGGTTTGACTTATCACAACTAAAACCCAGCATTCCCCTTTAGCTACATTCCTCAAAAGAAATGAGACAGAGCATACGAGTTAGCTCGTAAATGAGTAAGGTAATTGAGGCTCTTCCCATCCATCTTTAGTTGAGTAATCCCACTAAACAATTCCTATTATCAACCTAGTAGAAGTGTCCTATAAGTGGGATAAGGAGAAATATAACACGTAATCCGTGGCTAGTTCAAACACAAGAATAAGTGTCACCAAACCACGTAAAACGAACATCTTCTAACAGAAGAAAAGGAATTTCAGTCTGACCATAGTCCAAACCGAAGATATAAATGGTTTCATCACTCAAATTACAAAATTGTAAGTTTGTGACAGGGAATGCTTGGTCCTTGTGCTGCAACAGTCCAGGAAATTCTATTTCTATTCAAAACCATGCACAGATTTAGGTGAATTTGTAGCAAATAATAATGAAATAACCAAGCATGGAAAGCTCTTGGTTCTATTCTACTACAGAGTAAAGCCAGTTTGGATCGCGCATATCTACTATATAAGGTAGGAGAGAAATGTGCGACTACATGAGAGAGGAAAGGGTAGACGAGAGCGAGCCTTAATTTAAGAGATTCTATGTACAGTTTGTGATAGGACATAAGGTTCAATAAAATGTGTCGAGAAACACATAAATAACCAATTATGCACTTCCCGGGGTATAGGAATTGCTGAATAGGCATAAGAGAATGTTAAAGTTAGATTACAAGCAAGATGTAAATTTGTGGCAGATCCATGCTCAAATACTACATAAAAGGACCAGGTACAAGCCTAAGAATAAAATGTTAAATCTAACATTAAAAGAAAAAAAATGCATCTTCAGCATTCTGAGGTCAAATCCACGCCAGAAGTTAGGGATGGAGAACTGAATTGTGTAACTGAATCGGCGGCAGGAAAACTTAGGACTATTTTTATTCAATGTTCAGTGTAGTGAAAAAATGCGAGTTAAGCAAAAGAAGACCAAAGGAGAATGATAAGGGGCTCTAAAACTGAATTATCGGATTATTATTCTATAATATTCACTACTTGAAGAACACAATTTAATCGAAAGGACAAAGCAGATCACTAAGGCAACTCACAGTTCTAAATGTTATAAACGCAGAGACCAAAGTATGTTAACTCAAGAATCGCCCTTGATTTCATCCGAATCGGAATCGCTTGCATTATAACCTGATAAATACTCAGAGCAAACATCAAAAGCAATCAACTATCAACTAAATTTCAGTCAACAATAACAAGGTGATGAAGATATTGATATTTACAGAGGTGAACCTGGATGCTTGTCGCTGACTTTCCAAACCGAAGGGCGCAGCCTCGATGCCCTTGTCATCCAAATTCTTCCCTTTAATCCCAATATACCAAAGCAATTAAGAATAAGATAAGAAGAATCCAAAACCCTGTTGCTGCTCTAAGTTAATGTCGGAACCCATAAAATAAAGACAAAAGCTTGAAACTTTCTTTATATAATAATGAAATTTAAACATAAAAATGGAAAATTTTCAAAATTCATCAGTAAATTTTGTACATTCTACAAAGCAATCATAACAGAGAAGAATAAACCCTAAATCCCATCCAAAGTGAAACAAAAAGAAGAAAGCTTTAGGAACCTAATAAGAGGGTAAAGGAAAGAAAGAAAAAACCTTTTGGGCATCTCGGGGAATCCCATAGCCGCTATAATACATTTGACTGACGAACCTGCATGTTAACGTCCCCGGCTTTGGCTTCCTTGAGAGTGTCTTTGAACCACCGCTTGACGCAATCGGAGACAACCTCGGAGAGAGGCAGGCGTTGAGTGGCGCTGGAGCTCTCCATCTACTTCTTGGGATTGGGTTTGTCGCTCTCCAGCTACTTCTAGGGATTGGGTTTGTTTTCACTGATAATCCGCCGCTGCGGCTGCGTTGGGGGTTTGGGCTTTATCGCTGCGTTGAAGGAGGTGACTTTTGCGAGACGATGAAGCATGTTAGTTGCGCTGGGCAGCCATTTTCCCATAAATTGAATTTAAACCTATGCAAATAGGAAAAAACAAGTTAGTGAAAATGAGTTGTGTCCTAATAAAGAAGACAAAATCAATCACCTTCCTTTTTTTTTTGGGTAAACTACTTATTTAGTCACCCAGTTATTTATGTAGTTTCATTTTGGCTACCTAATTAATTTTTTAAATCATAATCATTGTTATATTTTACTTTCATTTTGATCACTCGCCGTAAAAAAACTCACGTGGTGCTGACATGTTATCATAAGATAATGACACATCATCATTAAAAAAAATAAAAACATTACATCAATAGTTCTGTTTATTTTTAACGACATATAACTAAAATGAAACTAAAACATAACATGAGGTATAATTTAAAAATAATAATTGACTGACCAAAACAAAATCGTGCGAATAGATAGATGACTAGCTATATAGTTTACCCTCTAATTTACTTTTTACTCTTATAAATTTTAATAAATTATTTGCTATATTAATAGTTTTTTTAATATTTATAAATAAATGAATATTTTAAAAATGAAATAGAGAAAATAAAATAATCTGGACCAACCAGGATCGCACACATGGTCTTGATAAGTGAGTTTCCAAATGAGGATTTTCTGCATACATAAGGATATTGCTTAAACGATATCAAATTGTTTATCACTTAGACCAACCGTTTGTTGCATTCACAATTTTCTTTCCCTCTAATGAACTCGATTTGATTTCGAAGATAGACCGACAGCAACTCGCAAAAGTTGATGGAGTGTGTTTTCCCTTTTTTTTTTTCCAACGAGATGAAAGTGTTTTTTTTTGTTTATAATAAATTATGGGTAAATTATATTGACTATCACCGAACTTTAAAGGTGTTGTTATTTGGTCACTAAATCTAAAAATTTTCATTGAAATCACTACACTTTAAAGAAAATTATTTTGATCACTGGACCGTTAAATCATTTTGGCCATTTTCTTACCAATGCTGCCATCTTAGTAGATGACATTAATTTAATAAATGAAATGAAATGTGGCCAATTATTGACAAAAATATTATGCAGAGCGAACTGACCAAACATTATATTTTCCATTTTATGAAGCTTTATGATATCACAAGATAATTACGAAACGAGAAAAGAAGGAAATAAAAACAAATTTCAGTGCATCATCTACTTATGGCTACATAACAAACTTGGCCATTTAACTTTTCACAATTGCATTTCTCTCCTCATTCTTCAACAGCCAGCACCCAAAGTACTAGGAAGATCCATCCATTGATCGACCGTCGTTGACCACGGCTTTTACTCCGCTCTCTCCGATGCCAAATCGAGTAGTTTACGGAAGAACTGGTGAGGATATACAGGGGGCTGCTCTGCCAGTGCCTGAATATTATATCGTGCCACCGGAACAACTTAGATATGCCAGGAATGACATAGATTGAAGCATAAACAAGGCCTCATTCTCTCAATACCTAGTTGAACATAAATTTAACGCTGATTCGGGCAGCACGCGTTTACCTGATGTATCAACACAGTGGAAGGAGTCATTCCGGGCACTGTATTGACCTCTATGATCAAGACCTGCAACATGATCGATCCGCATCTTAACTTTGTTCGGCTCAGTCAAGCGCACTCTATGGCACGATGGAAGAACTTACCTCTCCAGTGTCAACATTAACAAATGCATCGATTCTTGAAAATCCTTCCAGTTGCAGGGTGTTGGCAATTAGTTCGATACGTTGTTTACATCGCCCCAAAGCCTCGTTACTGATCGAAGAAGAAAACTAATTCAATCGAAAGATCATTCCATGAAAAAGAAAAGGAAATGCATGGCATTGCCTTCAAAAGTATCAGAAATCCAATAATACATTACTGTAAGAGGGAATTAATACACCAATACTGAAGTGAGATGGATCTCATATTGAACTCTCAACAAGGAGGAAACTTGACAAACCTAATAATCGATACCGGGGAGGAGTCAGATTGATTCCAGTTCCACCTGTTAAGCAAAACTTTATCATTATTACAGATAACGCACGCTATATAATACATATACATATATATCCACGAACATTATTCGAAACAAAGTTTGCTCCTGTTGAAAGCTGCAACTTCGTTAATTACACGATAAATATGCAAACTAAGTCGAATGAAACAGCCCGACAAACCTTGGAATTTCTCCTCGAGTGACAGAATGTCACCGGTTTCCTTGACAGTTATGCTAGGACTCAACGAGTGCATTGATCCCCGTTTACCGATAACACCAACCGTTACTTCTACCCAGCGGCTGTGTCCTTTCCATAGAAGGCGTTGCGAATTTTCCGAAACAGTTTTGGATGAAAGAAAAATTTCATCTGTTTCCACAAAAGGTTCAAAGATCAAGAGATCTGGAGGAGGGTTTGGCATCTCAATCATTCCATGTGCCTACGCATTGTTCAAAAAGAAGTCGAATGGTTTTAATAAAAGGTCACAAATAATATTTTTGACATGTAATATGCAAGTGAAATAAGTTTTTACCCAACTTAGCATATTGCTCGAAAAATTTATCACTTGTTGCATATGCTAATCAATTAAGAAAGTATATGCATATATAATATCTGCAACTCATTATGCAGTGAGGAGAAAAAAGCTTTGAGTTTGTGTGACATATTGCCCCAGAATTTTTCACGGTTTCTGGTTAACGTCAGCTTGTAAGTATGGCACTTTCCTAGATCTTTTGCAGTCCGTTTAAAGGTTCTCAATAGTCCCGAAATCTACTGATCTGAGGGCAGATGAATTGAAGCAATGCTTTATACCTTTGAAAAGCTATTCGGAGGAATCCGTAGAAGGCAATCATCCAAGGCTTTTGTATACACTGCAAGGTCCTCTGCACAGCTGCATGTAGGAAATGATTAGAATCAGAATCATAATAATGAATAAAACCAAAGACTCTTGTATCGAATGACGTAGCTCTAGCTGATACGAAGATTATGAAAATTTCATAGTTGAATGGCAAAGGTAAGTCGGCGCTTGGCATTGAACAAGAAAGATAAACCTACCACAATCTTGCAACACCAGTAGAGCATCCGTCCCTCGCTGGTTTAATGCATAATGTTTCACACTGAAGCTTTGAAATTAGTTCATTCCAAGTCTGAAGAATGGGCATTTTCAACAAATCCTCTTTTTTCTTCACATCTTTGTTTATGGTAAGAATTCCCTGGTCTCTCAGCTGTCAATTTCCACGAACTAAGCGGCTTAGTAAATAAAAATCTATTCGAACCGATAATGAAACAAAGAAACGCTGTTTGACTTTCAAATATGTAATATTTGCTTACATACATGATCAAGAGCCAGAGAAGTTGCGACTTTATCCATGCAAATCTTCGAAGCCGTTATGCCAGGACCTTCGCAGGAAAGAGAATTCGAAAGAAATGAAAATCGATTAACCATAAAAAGAACAAATGCAACGTTGATATACAAGAAGCAACAAGGATGAACCTGTATAAGGAATTCCTTCAGCACCAAGCAAAGACTGAAGTGTGCCATCTTCACCGATGCCTCCATGCACTGCAATTAACATTAACTCGGTCATTGAAAACAAGCTGAAATGGATCTACTTTTTTAAAAAAGATAATATATCAGCATAATTTAAGAATTTCCCAAATACCCGAATTAGGCTATTGTTGCAACAAGAAATGGAATACATGGCAAATCATTTAGCATTTCCAACGAAACAGCTAAGAAACAAAACCTGCAATAAAAACTGTTGCATGGACTTCCTTGGCATACTGGATCCACTCCTTCAGTGAATATCTTGTTGGTAGCTCATCAGCTATGTCAAAACCAGTAAACCAACCATGTTTCGTCAAACCTTCTGCGAGTTCGTTCATCACTTGGTTTCTTAAGTGAGATGTCAAGGCAGCTCGAGCTGGCTCAATTGCCTCCATGCATGCATCGAGGACTTCCTCCGTTGTATGCCTCAACACAAGGGAGTAACTGTGTGTGTAACGCCCCAAAAAACCAGGTTAGTGACTAAAATGGAAGTTTTTGAAATTTGGTGATTCAAATTATGAAAATTTGAAAGTTTAAGGACTTAATTGGGAATTTTATTTAAGAGAATTGATTGATAAATTTGAAAAGATTGAAGGGAAAAATGGTCTTTTGACCATCAAGATAATTGTTGAGATGGGATATATATGTTACACGTGGGGATGAGGAAAAGAGAAAAAGAAAAGTTCCAGAGTTCTCTTCATCTTCTTCTTTCTTCCAACCGTGGAACCAAGTGGCTAAGGTGAGTTTTATTGTTAACTAATTATTCAGTGAATTTAAGAGTGGTTTTTGATCCTTAAGTGATACTTAAACTTAAGGAAAGCTTAAGTTAACTTCAAATCAAAGAATGAATGAGTTAGGAGAGATTAAAGATTATGAGTTTTTGAATGAAAACTTGGAATAGAGTTGATAAGTAGAATTGGAAGTTAAATTTGACTTGTCAATGGTCGAATTAAGAGATATGAAGTGATAGAATTGAATTTAGAACAAATAGAAAATTTGGTATGATTTTTAAATTCCATATGGAGGATGAAAGTTTGAGGATCAAGATGTGTTAAATGTCTAGAAATTTGTTTGAGTATGTATCCTTGAGTTAAGGGTATTAAGGGAGCTAAGTTATGAAGGATTTAAGTTGATTTGGAGTGATTTTCGGGCTTAAAAAGGAAAATATGGGCAAGGAGTAAGGGTATCGGTACCTGGAAGGTAGTATCGATACCACAGGTACTGATACCATAAGGGAGGTATCGATACCAGAGAAATATCAAATGTAATTTCGGTACCGATACCCGTCTTGGTATCGATACCCTCAGCTAGGGTAATACCAATAACCTATAGTGGGTACCGATACCTCTTCAAAGGGAAATTAAAAATAGACTTTTCTTTTAGATTAAGAAATTAAGGATTGAATTATAATAATTGGAATATATGATTATGTAGATATCGAGCACAAACAAGTTTCGGAATAACCGAAAGGTTAGAATTGATCAAGAAGAGAAATTAAGCCATAGGAATATTCGATAGCAAGTGAGGCCCAGGTGAGTGCATACTATAGATCTAGTTTAATAGAAACAAGACTTGTGATAAGTCTATTTCCTATATTAGTTTTCATGGTAAGGTAATCATGGACATGCATATGAGATAATTACTATGTACATATACATGCATGAGTTATATGTTTATATGATCTGATATATGCTATTTGATTAAAGTGTATATATGCAAATAAAGTATGTGATATGATATGAGATAGATGTTTACACATACATGTGATTACAAGAGAAATGATAGAAATACATGAATATATGCAACATAACAATAGTACTCATGATATGTGACATGAGAGCTATATGTATAGTTGACATGCCAAGAGTCGAGGGTTGCCTATGTCCTTCGGGACATATAGACAGGATTACCTATGTCCTTCGGGACATATGGACAGTTACCTATGTTCTTCGGAACATATGAATAGGTCCTTTGTGCACAACCTCAAAGTACTCACATACCTTGAGTTCTCAATAATGTACATGGGCTTATAAAAGATGTAACAAGTATATATATATATATGTTTTCATGTTTGCATGTTATTATGATTTATATTGATTCATATATGGCATAGTGGACTTATGATAAGTATAGTTATCATTGGATAGTTAATTGCCTGCTCATATTTATAGAAATTCTTTATTATATGTTATGCCTCACTAAGTCTATGACTTAGCGTGTAAGCGTTTTTACACGTAGATTCAAAGGAGCAGGAGGATCAAGTTTAGGAATTTGCAGAGCAGCGTATCTTCACTCAAAGATCAGATCAGAAGTAAATTCACAGTATGTACTTTGTTGTGTAAAAGTGTTGGCATGTAACAGGTGTAATTTACATATGCTATGATCAGTTTTGTAATATTTTGGTCGTACTTATGTAAATGGTCAGCGTTATATTAATGAAAGTTTAAATTCTTTATTAGTTTTTACAAATGTATAGGTTTGAAAAGTCAACGTGACACCTCAAATTCGTATCCGGGTCGGATACGAGTTGGGGGTGTTACAGTGTGAGAGAGAGATAATTTCATTTGTCAAATTAGATTAACAAGATATGACGAGACCAACCAATAAGTGAAATAATCAGAATTCCAAGATTAGCTTCTACCATGACAGATCAACAAGCAATGAGAAAAAATGAAAATGGAGAGGCCATCAGAAAATATGATGTGGCCAGATATATAAAAGCTATACTTACGGTAACGACCAAACTTCAATGGAGCTCAAATCAGGGTCCAATTTATCTGAATCTGTAGTAGATGAATGGCCAATCGAGCGAGCAAGCAAAAAGGGAGTTACGTCAAGCTGTAGACACCAACATTACATATCTCATACAGTGCCATACCTATAAAATATTTGGATCATAATATAAATGTCACCAACTTACATCGTCAAATCCTTGCAAATTGAGCCAAACATTAGTTCCACTCATAAGGGATACCTGCCGCTCCGATGTGTCTCCTCCAAGAATTACAAAGACTTTACGAAAGCCTTGATGCCCTTTCTTTGAGGGTTTTGAATTTTTCTGCAGCTGACCTGATTTACTACTAAATGTTGCAAGCTCAGGAAACTTCAAGCAAGCTCGATAGATAATGCTTCGCAGAATGTTCGAATGAGAAAATCCAACCTGGAAAAATGTTGCATGTACCAAATCACAAGAACAAGTAATGAATCACAAAATTCTCCTACCTTGACTCTACTCATGCAATATTATCTGCAAATCAGTCAGAACCGATGAACCATAAAGATAGGATAAAAGCTTCCATACTTTTAAATACCATAAGTCATTTCATAATCATACAAAGTAGCCATAAGGGCTCAATAGACCGTAAATTTTGGCTCTATACTACAAAAGATTGCTACCTAAAGAAGTTATTTCTAATTGCACGGTACATTTAAGTGGGGTTACTTCTACAGGCCATTGCCAGACATATGATAGATCTTTTCCATGCCATATAGAAGCTATAATGAATGCTTGCACAAAACACCAGCAAAACTTCTATTTTTATTCAGAAGTACCTTTGAAGCTTGCTGAAACAAGAAACTTGTCTGTTCCATCCCACTAATCTGAAAGATAATAAGGAAAACTCGTTACGAGTTCTAATGAACTTCAAACCAGCAGGTAAAGTAAAAATCAAAGATGATCTTACCAAGTTGATGTCAGTAAATAGAACTGTGCCAAATTCTGTCATTCCAAATTTATCTTCAGAAGCAGCTGATGTTTTTGTGGAAGAGGGCAAAAACCACCCATCAATTCGAGCAAAATGACGCAATCCAAGCCTTTGAAATAACAAAGATGCCCCTTCTCGGATAGTTTTAATTATTTCAATAGGAAAACGAGGAGGAGTGTGATATGCAACCTTGAATTACAGAAATATTTTTGAATTAAGAAGACAATCATATTAATTAATTATCATGTGGGAACTCAAAACCATAAAGATTATACACTCATTCTTAGTCTGGCAAGTGTGACCAGTGTATCTAGATAGAAAATTAGGGATGTAGTAATGAAAGACCTGTTGTGTGGGAAGATACTTCCTTCTATAATTAAAAATTGCATCTTTCTCCTTTAAATCACCACTACCTTGAAATTGAAGCTCCACCTGGGCCACAGATTCCATTGTGTTAAATACCGAATCACCGACCAAGCTGGAGTAAGAATTACTCATTCATCCAAGACTATATATGAAAAAATTGTTCAAGATATTAATCTATGAAGATAAGAAGCATGTGGGGATGAAAAGTATAAGATATTTTTATGACCAAAAACTAAATCCATGGAGATAAAAATTTATATCGAAGGAGTACTTGAATATGTTCTAACCTCCTTTGAAATTCTAACAATTATTTTCACTCTTTATTAGTCAAAGTTTAGCTCCTAACAGTTAAACTTTGAAAAGTAATGGTTCAAAATAAGCCTCTAACGTGATAAGATTACTCATGCCAATTTTCAAGGGACTCCCCCCCTAGAAGGTGGAAACAAAGAATACACGTAATGATAGAAAACTTGTATTTGCGTATAGTCCATCTTATGGTAAGTTCACGTAAGAAACAACAGTATCTAGGCTACCTCAGTTGGCAGTAGCACAACAGGTTGACAATCAAAACCATGGCCCACATCAAGAACAATGGCTGTGAATTCACTCCCTCCTTCAAGAAATAATTCAACGAGCACTCTATCATCGATTCCCTTTCCATGAAAAAGAAAACAGAATTCATTAGTTACAGCAATGTCAGCTTCAAAGGATCATTTCTAAGTCAAGAATTAATCAATCCTGTTTGTCGAAACTTCAGGACAGTTTCAACAGAAAGATTATGTTCAAGTTTTACTTCATTCTTCCAAAAGAAATGAAAATTCTCTCGAATTATCCATTGATAGAAGATAACAGAATACAAAACAATATACCGCACAAAAGTATTTGCATATTTAGAAGAATTTTTCAGGATAATAGGAAGTGAGGCCTTATATAAACCAAACTTACTTGTGCATCCTCATGCATTGGCTGGATCCTAGATTTCAGATGATAACAGCAGATTAATATTGAGTATGAAAACCGGATATACCTGTGAAATAATTTCATTGGCCTTTGTAAGTGAATCTTCAACTCCATATGCAACTGTGACACCAATGCTTGATCCTGCTCTTGCTGGTTTGACCTAGAAAAATATGTTATCATTAAACTTCAAGGCATAAGGTATGTCAAATTAACACACTATGGGTAGAGCAGAAAGTATGACTTACCACAACCTTCCCGGTGTTAGAGTCCAAATGGTTGCTTGCAAACCATTCGGATAATTCATCTCGATTCACTTCATTTCCCTAAAACACCCTCAATATTTCAACAGCGCAAATTACAATAAGATACATTTACTTCCAAAATGCTTATACAAGTTCTACTATTAAAAAGAAATGTTTTCCTCAGTTCTAAACTATACAAGTAAAGAGACGGCTTTTAGATACAGGGATCATATATAACTTTACTGCAGCACATGTATAAAATGTCGCAAACTTAACCAGGTTTTCTGAATATTTGATTTTGGCTTAGAATTTCCTACATTATATACATCTAGATCAAAATTTTCCACCAAAGAAGGCAACTATAGAGCTTTATAAATAAATAGTTCAAGGAAGTATCTTAGCATGTAGGTAAAAGTGAATCAGGTAAAGCACTTCAGAACTTCAATAACCTCCCAAAATCATCTTTAGGAACAATAAGATTGAAGTAAAAATAATTGAGAATCAATATAGCAGGAGCCAAATATGAGCCAATAGAGATGCTATCACCCAATAAACATATATATCAAACATTTGAAAATGTGCACATCTGTGCATAATGCTGTGTTCTGCAGCGATTATACACATGAAAGCCTGAATATGTATCTACGACGAATTAAAAAAAAAGAATCAAGAAATCTTAAGAAAGTTACCTGCACTAAGAAACTTGGTACTGTTACAAATCCATGTTTGCCAAGGCCCACGGAGGCATCATACTGCAATAAATTAAAGAAAAAAGAGAATTAGCATTACAGAATACAGCCAATTAACCCTCATCTGTAAGAGTTATTAGGAATTAGATGAGTCGGGGTATACTTTAAGTTACATATCAATAGCGAATGATAAGATTTATTAGGACCTCCCTTTAATTTATAAACAGGGGATTAAGTAAAGATCATCAAGCAAGTTGCATGTTCTTTTTACCACATGCAGCTAGGCCAACAATACAATACCTTGTCTAGGACTGATCAGGTTATCTAAATTGCAGATGATCAAATGTACATGATAAATTCTTATGTTATAAGTGTCTCGGCATCCCCAGATATAGCAAGTCTAATCAACAAATTACAATATGCAAGACCACTGGTTTCTAACTCCAGTTTACATTAGGTGCTTAGGCTTACACAAGAAGTAGAAACAGATTAATCATGGTGATATGAGAAATAAAGTTCCTGAACCTTGTCAAATGCTTGTCGACACTCCTTGGATCCCGTGCCAACAAATGGAACATTATATTTTTCCAACAGCTCCTGAATAATCAGTCAATAACATGAAGTATACTTGTATTATTTAACATGCTGTGCAATAGAAAACCTGAAAAGTAAAAAAATTGTTCGTCTGCAATTGATAACAAAGAATCATAGTAATGTACCTGTATGCCACCATCTTCACCGAACCGACCATGTATTACAGGGAAAACTATGTCCACCGAGACAGCTAGATGCTCGGCAAATTCAGACAAAGACTGGAAACCTTGGGCAAGACTGCAAAAGATGGAGAAATTCAATAACCTTTCAAGACAACTTCTATATTAGTGTACAATTAGGAACGTAGTAGTAATATGAACTTGCTCACCTTTCGAGCTTAAAATCAAAATCCGAAGGAGTGTTCGAGTATACCTAAAGAAGTAATTTAGTCACAAAATTAAGGGACTAATCAGTGATAAAATTTATCCACTAAAATGTAACAAAAGAATAGAGCTGACATGCATTACCACCATTACTTGAAAGTACAAAGTACAAACCTGAGCAGAGGATATTGCAAAGGCATTGAGATGATCATCAATGTAATAGCAGCTGACATGCAAATCCTCTCCCTGAAATTAAAAACAATAAGCATTATATATGTGTGAACTGACACTCAGTATTATAATGAATTGAAGTGAAGTGGGTTGACCTGTATGTGATCAAGCACTGATCGAGCAGAGTTCAAGGAAATCCCACGCTCCGCCGATGGACCGCCACATATCACACCAACTCTCAACACCCGACTTGTATCCTCTTTACCTCCCAGCACAGCGTCCGCCACCTGAGCGGTGGCGCGTGTGACTCCAACTCCCACAGTTTTTGAAGAAGAAGAAGAAGCAGTAACTAGTTTCCGGGTGAACCCAGAAAGCGAGTTCGAGGAGGGATGAAGAGAGGGTGATGTGGTGTTCCGGCATGGGTTGTTGAGCACCAGTAAGGAGCGACTGGAGCCATAACAGAGGGACGCCATGGGGGAAAGAGGAAGGATTCGTAGATGAAGAGAAAGGAATCTTAAAACATAGTATAAATAACGAAAGAAGTTGGTGGGCAATTTGTTTTGTTCTTCTTTATTTTGATTAAGAATTTGATAACCGGCGGCACAGTGACAGAACTTCGATTCGTTTGTTTCTTCCTGGAATCTCTTCGTTGTGCTTTTATGATTACACTTTTATTTAATTTCTCAACCACCCCAAAAAGTGAAGACCGAGTTGGGCCGCATAATACTTGGGAGTTCACCGTTGCTACAATCAGTCATCAGTTAGTTATCTTGGAGTAACTGCTGTATAAACTCCGGTACTTCTCATAATTCATCTTCGTTGTTATTTTCCCGTTTTCACGTGGTAGGGATAAGTAAAATTTGACTGACAAATATTAAAATTTTAAATGCAATTTGGCATTAAAAAATTTGATTTGATTTGATGACTGGCAATTTTATAAATTTAATTAAATTAAAAAAATATATATTTGAGTCGAGCTATAAAATAAAATTTGAATAATTAATTTTTTTTAAATTAATCACTGGTATCTAATCTATTGATCAAATAATCCAGATCAGATACTACAAAGGTAAGAGCGATCCTCTCAACCTAATTTGTTCTATTAGCAAATATCAAGGTTCGAATCTCTGACTTTACTTAAAGAATCTAATGTCTCATCCCACAAGACCAACTGATTGTTGGTAATAACTCAAAATTTATAATAATTAGTAGATTAAATTTTAAGATTAAGTTGAGTTCTCACAACTTTGTATGATATATGTATATTGCATATGAAAATATATCGAGAAACATATGTACATTGTATATAATTATATAAAATGGTCTAAATTAAAATTAAATAATATCATAATATTATAAATATTTATAATTAAATTTAAATAAAAATCAAAATAATTTAAATTTTATAAATTCGATTAGTAAATATTTATTTCATAGTCTATATTAGATGATGTAGAAATTTATTTATGAGGTGGTTTTAGTAATTTAGTCTATTTTTTTAATCAAGCGAAACCAATCGAATTATATACCAACATCACTGTTTATTTACATTTTTAGGTTAGAAAATTCAAGGGCTGTGTGGCAGGGGAAGGCTGGGCCGACAAGTAGGGATTGACATGGGTCGGGTTTTTGATTCACCCGATGTGATTCGAGAACAAGGAGTCCTCCATCTGAGATTTGATCTGACCAAAATAAGTTTTCACCCAACCTAAAATAATAATAAAAAAATATTTTATTCAATAAAAACAATGACTTAATTGAAAAAAAAATATATAGATGTCGAAACCGTCTTTCGGGGGGTCCGAAATTGAACTTCGACTTGAATAAAACGGATTGGAGTCGTCACCTATCATTTATTTTAAAATAAATGGGTTGATCGGATACCTTATTTCTTACCTGATCTACGTCGTGCCAAAGATGTGTCGGATTCAGGAGTCGATTACAGTTAAGGAAGGGTTGCACCCTTGAACTGCCCTTTCGGTACTACGTAATTTCCAATTGTCTTTAATTAAGAAAATCAAAATTTTAAATTAAAAGGTAAAAACACGATCCCAAATTATTTACATCCGATCGATTTAAAAGTGTACTCTTAAAAAGTCAAGAAACGTGTTAGATGAAAAAGATAATGAAAGTACATAAATAAAAAATAATAAAAGAAAAAAGTAAAATGAGATAAAAAAGAAAATAAAGTAAAGACAAAGAATAATAAAATAATAAAATAAAGATAAGAAAATAAAAAAATAAAAGTAAAAGTAAAAATAAATAAAAAAAATAAGTAAAATAAAGAATATAATAATAATATAATAAATAAATAAAAATAAATAAATAAATAAATAAGAAACAAAATAAATATAAAGGGAATAGAAAATAAGTAAATATAAAAATATAAAACTACAAAAAATAAAGAAAATGAAATAAATAAAAATAAATAAATAAATAAATAAACAAAAATATAATAATGAAAAATTAAAAACAAAAATATATAACTATTATGTAAAATAATAATAATAAATAGTAAAAAATAAAAAAAAATAAAACAATTACTCCACCGAAAAGAAAAGAAAATAAAACAAAAGAAAATATAAGTTTGGTGAACGGGAAGGAAAAAATGATGAGGGAGGGTCTAGCTAATAAATGAGTGTGGGTTATGTATACATATAATATAGTAAAAATAAATAAACAAAAACGTTATGATAAAATATATATAATAACTATAATAATAAAAAAAATAATGAAGAACAATTTAGTAAAGTGAAAATAATAATAATAATAATAAGAAGAAGAAAATATAATATATATATAAATAAATAAATAAAAACAAAAAATAGAAATAAATAAAAATATAATTATATATAATAATAATAAGAAGGGTTAAATAAATAAAATAAAAAAATATATATATAACAAAATAAATAATAAAATATAATAATAATAAAAGGATTAAATTGAAATAAAAAGCAAATTGGGTGGTCAAATTTCAAAGCAATGTTAAGATGTAACTTTAATTTGGGGTTAAAATAACCCTTAAAAACGACAAGGGACCAAAAGGGTATTTTACCCTAATTCTTTATAAAACACGCGGGTTGTGCGTAATATGGGTCGAGTCGGTCGTCCAAAACGGGTTGATATATATGCCAACTCCAATAAAACACTCTCATTTCCCTTATTCCCTCTCACACGATCAAACAGAAAAGAGAGAGAATCTCTCTATTGTTCATAGGTTGTTCTTCAACCGTAGGCAACTCAGATTCCGACGATCTGTCGCCTCGCCGACCGCTGTTAATCGACGTCGACCATCGGTCATCGACTATGAACCCTATATTTTTTGCCTTTTCGAACGCTCTCCATTTTTCTTTCAAAATCCAAACATAGTTTCTTAAAAAGGTGCCTCGGGAGGGCTAGATCTAAGAAAATAGATCTCGAAGAGCCCTCCCCGATCATCAGCGCTTCGAATCAACCAAGAAGAAAGAGAGAAACCACGCAAGCAAAATTAGAAATTCAACGAGGTACAAAAATAATACCTTTTTATTTCACTTTGAAATGGTTACAAGATGCTTGGGTTCACTGTTTTTGCCTTTTCCGAATATTACTTGTGTATTTTGTAGTCTATTTTCCTGTAAACTCATGTGTGATTTTGTGTGTTCGATTATATTTATTTATAGCATATTTACATCCTATTTTTAGAGAATTTGCTCCCGTGTAAAACTTTGGGTTTGTTGCTATTGTTTTTGATTTGTTGTTGACGAGGGAACGTTGGCTTGAAAAATCGGCGGAGAGACATACGACACGAGAGGACTTCGAATGTGGAAGAGGTTGCTGCGCAGAAGAGATGTTGGAAGCAAAGTGTGGGTTAGGGTTTCAAACCCTAACCCGTTCAGATCCGAGCTGCTCCAATGGGTTCTGGTTGGACCTGATTCGCGGGCTTGTTTGTAGTTGGGTTCTCAGGCTGCACTTTGGGTCACTGCTGGGTCGTGTGTGTGTTTGTACTGGTTCTGGGCCTGAAATATGTAATAAAACAATAAAAAATAATATACAATATATATATGTTGTATATTATTATAAGGGGATGAAATGTTGTGTCTACAATAGAAGGGTATTATTGTAATTATTCCTAAATATATAAGGTAAAATTATATATTTTTTTCGAGACGGGTATTTTTCACCCTAAACCCGACCCGACCAGAACATTACATTAAAAAAATTCCGACCCGATCCGACTGATCCCAATTTTTTTATAAAAAAAAATCCGACCCGATCGAGTCGGGTTCGAGTTTCACAAGGGATAGGCGTGAGGCTGGGTTTGAATAGTGAAGTCGGTATATAAGTATTACCAACTTTGAAATTTTAATTAAAAATAAATAAATGATCACTGAAATCGATAAATAATTCGACCGGCTTTATTTTTTTATTATATTAATTTATTTTGGTAGTTCAAAGAATCATTATTGTTTTTAAAAATCATATGTTCGAGCATCAATAATTACAACAAAGTGATTGAGCGTTCATTGTCAAATTATTGAGAATATTTAGAATATCTATTACTTTATAATCACCTTAATTTAATAAAAAAATTTATAAATTTCAAGTATAATATATGGATAATTTCACCTACATTTTCAAGATATATACCTGAACTTGAATCTATATAAAGTGGGATAACATGAACATTTTTTACCACTTTACTAGTTAATGGATCTCATAATACAATATATTTTATTTATGATATTAAAATTTAGAGTAAAGTATATAGATGATTCCCGATTATTGGACGTTATTTTATTGGGTCTTTGACTATTAAAAGTTATAAAATGATCATTCGACTATAAGATGTTGCTTTGTTTAGTCCCTCAACTATTAAAAGTTATAAAATGGTCACTCGACTATTCATATGTTCTAAACTCATCATTTTTCGTTAAAAATTTAATGACAATATGAGTTGGACGTTAACCTGTTGATTGAGATACGATAATCGTTTGAGATTTTTGTATCATATTTTATCATATTACAGTCAATAGATTAACACCCAGTTCAAACTGTCGTTAATTTTTTTAACATAAAATGATGAGCTTAGAACATATGAATAATTGAATGTTTATTTTGTAACTCTTAATAATCGATGAACTTAACAAAAAAAATATACCTTCTAATCAAAGAATTATTTTATAACTTTTAACAATGAAATCACACAACATCAACAAAGGAACATAAATTATTGTGTAGAGATTTCTTTTTAATATTTACTAAATCAACAAAGCCTTCATTTTTAATTGAAATTGAATAATTTAGGAACACAAATACTTGCACAGTAATCCCACCATGAAAAAGTGAAATAAGGAAGGAAATATGGGAAGTCCAATCGAAAAGCAGGTAAAGGGGAAGTGGAAAGGCAAGCAACGAACAAAACCAACAGAACTGGAGAGAAATTGAAATTTTTTGGGTTTAAACCAAATCCTATTGTACCTTTCTTCTTCCTCGTGGTTAACCACATTCGGCCATGAATTGAATGAAGCGAAACCAAACTGTTGATTTTCTTCTTTAATAGATTGGTTTACCTATTGGATGAAGAAGAGCCACAACATGCGCTTCCTCTTGCGCGTTCCATGCCCGTCTCCTCCTCTCTGTGTATTTGATTACACCAAACCCAGACCATATCGTCCGCCGAAGCTCTCCTTCTCCTCTCCCCGCCGTTCTCGCTCTTCCCGTTCCCGTTGGAGCCACAACAACCATGTCGAAAACAGCCAGCGCGTCAGCCTTAAACGGACCATCGACTTCGATTCCTCCGCCGATAACCCCAACCTCAAATTGCTCATCCAGTTCGAGCCAATATCGCCCTTTTCTCACCTCGACCGCTTCGTCTCTTTATCCAACGACGCTTTCCAAGACCTCATACATTCGGTTCACATCGATACCGAAACTCGCACCTTTCGACTCTCCTGCAGCAAGTCGACCCTTAAATTCTTCGCCGCCGTCCTCGTCTGTGTGTTCCTCATCGCTTTCGCTTTCAGGGTTTGCATCAAGCTCGGTTCGGCCATCCGGGCTCGGTTTTTGCCGAAACCCAAGGTTATTGTTCGCCGGGACCGGAGTCTCGGAGGCAGAGAAGTGATTGTTGGGACAAACAGAGACCAGGGTCATCGTCATCCTTCTATTGATTTCAATGCTTTGGACAATCCGTTATCCTTATCCACAACTTCATCTCTTGCCAATATGACCAATTATTCACGCTTCCATGTTAGTGAGAAATTGCCCAAATGGTGGCCTCAACCGGTTTCTGCGCCTAAAACTGCCTCCGTTTTCGATTCTGAGTATTACCAGACTCAGGCCAACAGATTGATTAAAGGTCCATTCTTTGTTGCTAATGCTATGAACTAATTTTTCATTCAATACTAATACTCAACTTTGTTCCCCGTGGATTGCAGGTAAACACTGCTCCTTTAAATAAAATATTATCTTCTTGTTAGACATTTGATACTCATGGTTGACTTCTTTGCTTTCAACTGATGAACTTTATGTTCAGCAATCATCGAAAATAGATTGGCTGGAAAGGACTTTGCTGAGGACGATATAATTCAAGTCAGTGCCTTCTTGACGAATTATTTCTCATCGCGTTATATTTCGAAAATGTTCGAAGTTGTTATGTGTTATGTAGAATAGTTAACGGATTCGTAGGAAGTTGGAATGAATGCAAACATATGATTCTAGATTTTGTTTATGCAACATAATAGGTTCTTACTTTGTTTTACCCTGTATGTTGTTACTATTTCTTCCTTTTTAATTAGAATGGGAAATATTACAGTTCTCTTGAGCTTCGATAAAATTCCCGAGTTGGTTCTAATGGATTTAATGTTCTACTAGTGCAATTTCACTTCGTTTGCTGGATTAGCTGATTCTTGAACAATGTGTTGTCCTTTCTTGTTGGTCTCTATGTGTGAGCAGTTACGTCAAATATGCAGGACATCTGGTGTGCGTGTCTCCATTGACACAACAAACACCCGGGATTCATTGTATCGTGCAGCGGTTGAGTTGGTTTTAAATGTTTGCTGCAGGTATGAAGTTATATATATATATATGGTACATGTTTAGATGTTTGATACATTGTCTTCTAACTTTCTTGAATTGGACTTTCTTGTGCTCCTACTGTTTCGGTTAACCAATAACATGCTTAGACATTATGCAGGGGCAGGGCATCGAGTCAGTCTACTGATGTTCAGATCGATGGTGAGGAAGCTCGACAATTCCTTGCCGGGCTAGCTGAAAATATTGGACTTGACAATATCCGTGCTTCTAGAATGGCATCCGCTGGTGTTGCTGCAAGAACACGTTATTGTTTTTTGCAGGCTTGGGTAATTTTTCATACTCTTGTTCTTACACGTGCTAGCTTTTGCACCTGTTGATGATTTTGTATCATACTTCAATCGGAATTTTCCGAGCATCAATAGTGTAGATGCAGAGTGGACCTTGGGAAACCAATAGGATCTTACCTACATACTACCTAGATAACCTCGTAAACAGAGAAGAAAGAATCACTGGCAACTTTATTGATGACATTTATCGGTTAGCACAAATTTACCATCATGTTTTCTGGAAGACTTTTGTATAATCTATCATCTGACTTACGGGAACCAGGCCCTGGGAAAATATGATATTTAAGTTGCAATAACACTATCAATTTTGTCTTAAACTTGTATCAAGTGATGATATTACAGCTTCGTACAGGGTTCCTACCACTCGTTCTCATGTTTATATAACTTCAAAGAAGGTATTTCGGCTGGTATATTGATCTTCATTGTGCCATTTGGTTGCAGGCTTTTGAAATGCAAGGCAAACGTACCAACGCAGTGTCGGAACTGTCCAAGATATGTCTCATGCACTGCATTTTTCCTCCCGGAGAGTCCTCTGTATGTAGTTTGCTATTTTCATTTTGTTTGCACTATCTTTTTCGCGTTTAACTTTGTTAATTTTATCTCCATTGCCAACAGCCTGAGATGGAGATGGTTGCACGAGGATTGGAGAAAATTTTGAAGGTGGAGCAGAGGGAATTATTGATGACTATGGTGGTAGCGATTTGTAACTGTAGCGACGAAACCCGTATAAGTACATCCGAGGCTCTAGGTTTGATTTATTGACACTCGTATGGCTTTTTTTCTTTGAAATTTATATGGAAATAATAATCAACCCATCGATGTCGATTACTTGCATTGTATCTTAGAGATAGAAATATTATCAATTCATTCATTCATAGATCCTCAAGGTGTCCATGAATCAATTGTTAAGAACTCAAGCCCATCTGGGTTGAATCTCCTACACTACTACATCATGCTCATTGCAAGGCCAGGCTCCAATGTAGCTCAATGGAGCTAACAGCGCCACAGACTCGGGCAAGGCAACTTAATACTTTAACACATAGTATTATATTATAAGATCATTATATCTTCTGGGCTGGGCATTTCTACAAACAGCTTGTAGGCTGAACAACCCCAAGCGAAGTTCCACCAGCGTGCTTACATGAAGCTGCAGCAACCGCATTCTTGTACGTAAGAGTCACCCCTTCCATTCGTATCCAACTGCACGGATGCTTAGAACTGCAATTGAAGTTTACGGCAACCTCTGTCTCCAATGTTCCGTGTATGTCTTGGTATGTCACATCGCTGACTTTAACTCCCGGAACCTGTACAAAGTATGTCAATGTGTTATTCTTTTGTTGATCGACAAAGTACAAATAAGGTCGACGATGAACCTGATCAGGACAGTTTTTGTTGCCAGGGAAGTAATTCTGGTCAACGACGATGGGATTTTTGAAGTTCTTCATCGTAACATGTTGGAAAACAATGTAAATCATTGCTGGGTCTTGCCCAAGACTTGATCCTCACACCATTATGGGTACCTATGAACGTGGCTGTTTTTACTGTCACATTCTGAACACCAGCCTCATTCTGGTCCTTCCCCAAGCTTCCAACGCTATATGAGCACAATGTTATATCAGGATGATGTTTACGAATACGTAACGGTTTTTATGTTGATGTTGATGGTGGTTTTTTTTTTACCTGATACCATGACCGGGGCTGCATGTGATTTTCTCCATCAAGAGATTAGTTGCACCAGGTCCGATCGAGACACAGTCATCGTCTGTTTGAATCCTGGAGTTGAGGATGGTGACACCACATGATAGTTGTACATGAATACCGTCGGTGTTGGGGCTGTTACCGGAGGCAATGATAGACACTCCTTACAGTTTTATGTTCTGGCAACCGTTGTTTACGACGTGGAACATCTGACCGTTTAGCGACGTTAATCCGACAATGTTGATGTTCTTCGATTTGCTAAAGCTTAGTGTCTGCATTGACAAGTAATATAGAATGTAACCAAAAACGAAATAAAAAAAAAGGAAGGGACCGTTAACGTAATATTAAAGCGGGTGACTAAGAAAAAACATTAGTTTATTAATAAACCCAACTTAAGTTGGTCAAAACGTAACGCTAATAAACACTTGGTCAAATTATGGTTTTTACACTTTACTATGGTCAAATTTTGAATTTAGTCTCTTTAGTTCAATCTGGTGTAATTTGATCCACTTGCTAGTTTTATAATGTTATTAGTTCAAATAACCAACATTGTTAACTATTTCATTAAAATGCTAACACGAATGATTAATGATCTTGTTTTAAGCCAAATAAAAGAAAAAGGATCAAATCCAAAACTTTTAGTATGGAAGAGGGACCAAAACACTAAAAGTAACAAACAGTACTCAGTTAGGAATGTCAGAAAACTTGTCGCGACAATACTCCTTAAACGGCTCAGTGTACTAACATGCGACTAGAAAATCTCCGAACGCTGAACTTACAAAGACCAGTAGTATAATAGCTAATCTAGAGCAGTATGGAAATCTTATAACATAAGAATGGTATAAATTAAGGAATTAAGCAGTAAGTGCATGCATGATCATAATCAAGTGCTACCTACTTAGGGTTCGATCATTCTATTGATATAGCTTGAGTCTCATGCTTCGCTTAGTCTTCTACTAAGAGCCTCACCAAGAGTATACAAACATTGGGTCTCTATTCGCAATACCACTCAATTACATAATGCAATAAGCATGATACGTGACCAAACTTCAAATATATATAAATATATATTGGCATTGCCACCAATTCACGGAAGTGTCTTGGCACTGGTGTCAAAGTGCCTCAGCACTAATACGGAAGTGCATTTACACTGATACTAAAGTTTCTTAACACTGCTGGTACATATCTGGATATTTCACATATATATACTTTAGACGGTCGTCATGCAAACAAGTAGCTCGAGTGTCCTTATCGTTTTTCGAGAAGCAAACAAAGGCAAGTCCTATAGAATCTTACCCCATAAGGTTCTTATGGTTATCACACATATATTATTATTATCTATTCTTATCTTGTCATTGTTATCATTTACAATAGAAGTAGTTGAGATCGCTCCCTCCCTCCCTAGTATCTCGATCGTCCTCTCTCTTAGAATGTTATGCAAAAGCTTAATAATATTTTAATGTTTTATGCCCTCAAGGAAATTGATAATCATTGTTACCTATTCCGTATATTATAACTACCCAGCTCTCAATTAGAGGATGGTTCGTTAACAACAACTCCCATGTCGTTCTCGTCACACTTCCCATTGGTTCACCCTTGAACCGGTAGGGCAACTTACACATATTTGAGTACAAGTGTTCGCGTATGACTCGTTTTCCTTTATCATGTTAATCAAGTCGTTCATCGTTTTATTTGCTGACATATCTTTCGGAATAATCCTTTGTTCACGATTACCTAATACGTGTTCGATTGAAGATACTCGGAAGCATTTCACTTAGTATGGTTACTTCAGTTGCAACCCACTCCTATGAGTGTTTCTAGGCCCTCTTGGCCCCTTCGTGTCTCTCACGGACTAAGTTCTACCATTACTGATCGTCCTTAGCTCTAACGGGCCTTAAATAGGTCAAATCTAACCATCCAAAAAAAGTAGTATCGATACTCTACTTGCAATATCGATACCCTTGGGTCAAGTATCGATACCCCTATGAGTATCAATACCAAAAATGCATTATGTTTCTGAAAAATAGGCCCAATATCGATACTGTCACCCTAAGTATCGATATTGTAGGGGTAGTATCGATATTCCCTAGAAGTATCGATACTCTATGCCTAAATCCCTAATTTTTGCCCCAATTCATCTAGTATCGATATTGTTCATCCCAATATCGACACTCGAACCATGAAATGGTTTATTTAGACTCAAAAAACACCGAAATAAATCCTAAATGACTTAGTTTTGGTCCTAATCTTGTACTGAAGCTTTAAAAGGTTATTTAGGGTCTTAAGGTATATTAAAAACACAAGCTTTACACCTAAAACGTGATTTGATCATAAAATAAAGATAAATACTAAAATGCTTAAATAACCAAATCTTAGCAAATTCTTTAAATTATGAAAGATTAACACTCAAAAGGAATAGAAATACACTAATTTGGTTAGAGAATCCGGAAAAGAAAGTTCCTTTAGCCAACTACCACACTTTTTTAAGACTTGAATGAGAAACCATCATTTTTTCTTACAAACAAATAACCCAAGGTTTGAATCATTAAAACAAGTTTCCTTGGGGGATTGAGTACGAAAATAAAGCTTAAAAAAAGTGAAAAAGGTTCTCAAGCACTTATCTTTGAGCTAGGTACTTAGAGAAGAAAATGGAGGAAGAAATTTTAAATAAGAATGAAATAAAAAGAATGAGATGAAGGATATAAAACCGTCATCTTTTCTCAAATGGGAGAATCACACTTTTGGTCATTCTCATTTTATCTTATATCCAAAAATCCCTTTTATGGCTAATTGGGCCCAAGTTTGACATAATCAAGCCCAAAAACTTAAATTATACAATTCACATGGTTCATATGTCCCTCGGGTAAACCTGAAACTACTAGCCCAAAATTTAGGGTGTAAAGATTGTGTTTGTTGTTAACCGAGTGTGTCAGTTCATGCAAGCTCCATGTGATGTTCATTTTCAAGAAGTGAAAAGAATCTTGTGTTATTTGAAGGGAACATGTAACACCCCATACCTGGTCTAGAAGACTAAGGCAGATACTTAAGCATACATTCGGTTCCAATTATATTGGATAAACAAAACCCTAAATCATACGAACTATACAAAAGCATACAAACTTAAATCAAATCAGATTATGACACATGGCAACATGAAATATTCGATAACATGAAATCATGCATCAAAAGTAACGAAACATAAATATTACAACACACAATCAAGGGTAAAAAGACCATTTAAACACACTAGGAATTCAAACTTAATTAGTTATATTGAGTTTACCATTCCTTATTATTACTCCTTAATTAACAACATGCAAATTTGCAGGTCATTCAGACATCGAACGAGTATTTAATTTAACATACGAGTTTAGGGACTAAAACATAAATAATCAAAACTTAAGTATGAATATAAAACATACAATAAATGTTTCCGTTATGAAATTAAATATATTTTAAAAGTGATAAAACAAGTCCTATCCAATTTCGAGTTACCATCCATAATTAATTAACAGTTCATTTTCTGGACCATTTTGAACTCACACAAACATTCAGGGGACATTCTAGAACCAAAGAACAATTTAGACCTTTAATGAATGCAATTTCACCCTTTTCCACTGAGCTCAAAATTGAAGGGATCGATCTTTTTTTAGAGGAATCGATCCTATGCTGGACAGAAAGTTTAGGATCGATCCTTTTGCTGGAAAAGTGCAGAATCCTCAAGAACATGCATTTTTAAGTTGTCAAACATCCACATTATATATAGATTTTCAGAAATGTTTTCAACAGTCTATGCATCATTTTCTACACATCACATTCACATTTCACATTCACATTTCCGATTTATGTTGCATCACACACAATGTAGCACAATCCACATTATCATTAGCATTATTAGACAAGTCACAAAATCATAATAAAGATCAAGTATCAAATCAAGCTATACTTTCCTTAACCTTGAACAAATCCATTCTCAAAGAATGAAAGTCACTCACCTTGTTGACCAGTAACTGAAAACACTTCCAAACGTTAACCAAACGCTCACCGAAACACAAAGCACAACCTCTCCTCAATATCTAACACATCAAACTCTCCTCAATATCTAACACATCAAACTCCTTGAAAAGAAAAATACCACGTCAAAACTAATACTAAAACATAGCATAATTTCTTGTTTCTAAAACAGAGCAAAAATGACGAAATTACCGAAATTTTTACCGAAACTACTCTCTGAAACCTCCAATCCGATTTGCATCACTTCTCCTCAACAAAAGTTGATCAACAACAACTACAATCAACATCTAATCCAACTAAAACCACACTAATGATCCTCTACAACTCTTAGTTCCCGAATTTCCAAAAAATGCCGAAATCAAACTTGTTTTCAAGAAATCGACGTCCAAATCAAAAGCAATTAAAAAATTATTTTAACATAATAATAATAATCCCAAAAATATCTCAATTTCTTTAAGAAAACGTCAAGAAAATTAGCTCAATAATTAACTCCATAAATCAATTTCAACTCATAAAATCCTTTTCAATAGATTGATTAATCAAAATAATCATTAAACAAATCACTTTCCCTCAAAGCATGAAAGAAAACCAAGGAAAATAACATTATCTTGCTGAAAATGATTGAAAAGAGAAGAAGAAAATCAGCAATGGCTCTCCAAGGAGAAATTGGCAAATGAATAAGAAAAGAGAATCAATTTTGATTAAAATCAAGCTAAAGGAGATGAAATTTAGAAACCAAAAGAGAAGAAAAGAGGAAGATTCAACCATTAGAGAGGATTTGGGAGAATTTGGGAGAAGTTATAAAACGGTTAAATAAAAGAAAATGAAAACCACCTGAATTGAAAATCAAGGAACGAAAACGAATTTAGAGTAACAAATGAATCTAGATGGAGTTTTGGTAAAAAAAAAAGGAAGATTAAAATACAGTTAGTTTAGGAAGGAGAAACTTTAAACACGAGCCTTGGTAAAATAAGCATCATAGACTTTGAATTTGTGATAATTTGTAAATTAGTCACTAAAATCATAGTTTCCAAATAATTCAATTTAATCAAAAATTTAAAACTCAAATTAAATTCCAAAATAAAATTCAATAGCCAAAAATCATTCAAAACCCTTCAAAAAATATTTTCCAAGTCAAAATTCAAAATTTTAATATTAATTTCATTTATTAAAAATCCGGAAACAGACCCGTATATCGACCCAAACTACCGACCTGGACTTCGAAATGTTACATAATAGCTGATTTTGGGTTACCTTTCACAGCTTCTTCCAGACTCTTTGATTTGTTTTGCTGATGCAAACTGGGGGTCTAACTCGAATAATAGGCGTTCCGCTTCGGGGTTTTGCATCTATTTTGGTGGTAACTTAGTTTGATGGAGTTCTCGAAAACAACAGGTGATTGATCGTTCAACTGCGAAAGATGAATATTAGAGTGTTGCGTGTGCAGCTGCAGATATAATATGGCTCGAATCGTTGCTCAAGGAGTTGCATGTTGTTCCACATGGTATCCCTAACTTGTGGTGTGACAATTCGAGTATGGTGGTTGTTTGTGGTAATCCCGTTCTTCATTCGAAATTCAAGCATGTGGAGCTTGATTTGTTATTTGTTCGTGAAATTGTTGCAGTTGGAAGATTACAAGTTCAATACATTCCTGCTTTTGAACAGGTTGCTGATATTCTGACGAAACCGTTGTCCTCACCATTATTTCTCAAGCACAGGCAGCGGTTGTTGGTCACGCAATTAAAAGGGAAAGCTGTTGAGAAGCCAGGTGAATGTTGAAGGTTTTGAATGCAAGGTGAATGTTAAGAATTTGGTACATTGTATGAGTTGTGCATGGTATGATGCAAGCTGATGTAAGCTACCCCCTTTGCTGTAGATGATTTCTGCATGAGTATGTTACGGCATGAGAACGCAACACCGATATATTTGAATCTAGTAAGGAAAATTAAAGATAAAATATAGTTAGATTTAAATTTTAAGAAGAATCAAACAACAATAGAATCCTATTTTACTAAGTTGTCCTAGTTATATTTGTAATTTTATAAAATTATTAATTTATAATATTGAAGGAGCATAAATTTATATAAAGATCTTCTGAAAAAATTGTTTTCTTATTAATTTATCGAAATTATTAATTTAGACTTTGGTCCCAAGTCGAGACCGAGAAAAAATATTATTTTAAAGAAACTATTAATCTATCAAGTATTAATTTATAGAGGCCCTAATGTATACCAATTTTAATGATATACTCCATATTTTTCATTTTAATTTTTTTTAAATTTTTTTACAACATCATTAAACATGTACGAGTTCCTGATTTAAAATTATTAATTTGAGAAACAAAAACTAATTTTGAAAGAGTATTAGAACTAGATTATCAAAATAAGATCTTATTTTAAAAATATCATTGATGTGTATATAATAATCATCTATTATTAATACTTAATACGAATAAATATTTATGGAACATTATGAAATGGGTAAAATATTTCGATATAAAATATGATATTCAACCAATAACAGAAAACAGCTGCATACGTTCCATAACAAATTGTTTGTTTTCTAATGAGACATTCTAAATTGTTACACTTACTGATGCTTTGGGGCTAAACACATTTTACCCGAAGTGAGAGACAAACACAACACGTCCATTCTCATCATCAGTCCATCAGCCTCTCCATAACCAGTTTGAGAACTGCAGGCGCGTCGACCGTGACCGCCACCTTCACCGACGGTTTATCAGTCCACTCCGTGATTTCGGCAAATCTGATCAAATATTATGTTTTTTTTTTTAATTTAGTAAGGAAATATGTACAAAACTAAAACGAAAGTGATCAATCCTGTAGTTTACCCTTAAATATTATAATAACTCGTTAGATAACGAGGCTCTGAACTTAGAACAATGCAACACAAATCAAACTAGATTATATAAAGCTCAGTTAGTCTCCTCAGGTTTCGATACTTTTGATAACACACCCACACACACAATCGGGGTGGACCGAGGGGGGACGGGTGGGGACAGTCGCCCCTTCCTGAAAATTTAAAATTGTCATATAATTTAGATTTTTTCTATTTATTTTCTATTTAAAATTTGTTTTCGCTCCCCTAGAATTTTAGATCCTCCCACAGTTTAAGTCCGCCCCCAACCTAAAATCATGCGTCCGTCTCTACACACAATAGCTAACTAACCTTTTCTGCTTGTTGTATAATATTGTTAGTCCTCGTGTGATGCCGTTCGTTTGAACTCGGACAGCACCCTCCGTGTAAGTGAGAAGTGAAGGATTAATGGCTGCAACCATGGTTGTTGGATCATGAAGGTACACACCTGCAGAATGGTAGTGAATAAATTAAAAGGTCACGGTTCTGCTGAAATCACTTAACCATTACCGGCAGACAGACCATTTGTGCTGTATGCTTCATGATGATAATCGAAGTACACCCCTAGTATCTTGCACAAGTACTGAGCGAATTTTCCAGTTGAACTAGCCAATTTGTCCCGGTCAGCATCTAAAATATGTCAAATTTGATTATAAACTGGTGGAAACTGTAAAGCAAGATTATTAAGATGAAGGGAAAAAGTTCCACAGACTAGATATATAAGGTATTCACATAGATCTATTAGTTAATAGAATGATCCTATTTAACAGAACATTGACAAATATTGAGAAATAACCAATACGAGTACCAGTCAAAACAACTTGATGAGTAACATTTATCCCCACAGCCAAAATATCTGCTCCACTTGTGAACACAATATCTGCTGCATCTGGATCGCCGAAGATCTGTCATTCAATTCAGAATTTGGAACAACATGTAAGACAGTGTATGCAGCCATGACATTCGCATACAACAAGATTGAAATGTCAAAAATTAGAATAAGAAGTTTATATTCAGAGTTTTTCATTTCGTGAACACCACCTTCAACTGTTGAAATCATAAAAACGCCTAACATCAAAAGAAGTTAGATTGGGCAGAAATAAGTTGAAAAGGCCTAAGAACTGCATATACTCTTCCAACGGTTGATATTTTTATGCAAGTCGGAAAGATTCAAATATACAGTAACGAAAATTCAGTCCGTTGAATTGAAGTGTAGGAGGCAGCAAATATATACAAAGGATTTGGGAAACTTACATTGGCCTCTGCTGCTGGATTCACATTGCCATTTACTGCAAAAGCGCCACCAAGAAGAACAATCTGCCCAATGTTTTTAACAAATGATTCATCTTGTTGAATAGCCTGCTCGGTATAGAATCATCATGAAATATTAGGGATGTCATTTACAAAGAAAAGCATGCCACAATAGCAGCAAATGATCAAGAATCGGACCAGTGCAATATTTGTTAGCGGTCCTAACGCCACCACAGTGAGCTTCCCAGGATACAGATTTGCTTGCTCAATAAGAAAATCAGGAGCTGACATGTCAATAGGCTTTCCTTGCGGTGGAGGGAAATTTTGATTGCCAAGCCCATCCGTACCATGGACAAAATCAGCAATACGAAGTTTTGTACCTTTCTGGGTGTAGAACTATTCATCAGTTTAAAGAAGAATGACACTACCACAGAAGTCATTGAAAACACAGTTAATATACATGTGTGTGCGTGTGTATGGCATCCAAACTGCAAAAATGGGATGACATTCATGATTCATCATGTCATTCAAGTTGTATTTATAATCAAAATAGTAAAAAAAGTACTGCATCCATTTGAACAGGAATTAACAATTAAATTCAGAAAGCTTTATGTGCTGTGCATACGGCTAAAGAAACCCCAGCCATGAATCTTATCGATCTTACCCCTTCCAACAACATGTTCAAAACTTAATTGTTTATGAAAATATAAATCCAACAAATTATAGTTTAGTCTTAGTTGAAGTTAGATAAAAATTTGGAATAAGATTAATAAATTGGTAGCACTTGCAAATATAATATTGGCCCTGTTAAAACTTCCACCTGTCTAGTTTAATATAATAGTTGAACCTTGACAGCATTAAATTGGAAGGGTGTATTCTTAAATCTTAAATATAGAAATGACATCGGGTATGGAGAATACTTGCCAATAAAAGCAAAAACTATTGCATATCATGTTCTCTCAAATTCCAGGTTCAACACGAGCAGAGAGAAGGTCAAGGATGGTGGATTATGGACTAAAATATTAGATAATCTTATGGATGGCCACAATAGTGTTGATTCGGATATTTGTATATATTCGACTTGCTTTTTACCGATCCAAATAACTCGAATTTGGCTATTTTAATTATTATAAGTAGAAGATTTGGAGATGACATGATATTAATACTCGGATGCCCATTATCAGAATTTGCTTTACTTTTGTGGATTCGGATTTGGATATTCCAATCTATTATCTGCTTTACTTTTCGAAATCTTTATTCTAAAAATAATTTCGGACTTGCTAAATGCAGACTTTTAGTGGATTAGAACACAATTTGATTTAAGATCATACACGGATTTGGATTTTAAATTGATTTGCAGATCTGTACTTAAATTTATTATTATTCCACTAAGAATTTTTTGGAGATCGTGAGATATGAACGAACAAACCAAGGACAGACAAAAAAGTTGGAGAGAGATTAAGGATAATAGCACATACAGTGATGGTAACATGTGATCCTTCCGCCACGGGGATATCAGTCCTCTCTGCAACCTCTAACTAGGAGAAAATCACTCCAGCAGAGCAATCCATATCAAATCAATGGCAATCAGTTACAAAAGAAAGATAAATCAGAGTAGGAAGAATGAAAAGTTACCAAATGTAAGGCATTTCTAGTGGCCAAAGTGGTATAGACATTTCCAAAAATAGTGGTGAGACCGATGACCTCCACTTCAGGAGATCTCAGTGCTAGAAATATCGCCATGGCGTCATCTGCATCATCCGATCAAATCACAAAGAAGGACGATCAACATAAGTTCATCTCAGAAGCGTTCAAAGTAGCAGCAAAGGAAGGATACAGTTCAACAGTATAATTGAAATAGATTCAGAGATAAACTTTAGAAATCTAAAAGATAAACAGATCCGATCGTTGAATTTGCAATAGCTCTACTTCTAATCGAGTGATATGTGACATAATTACCGACGCCAGGATCAGTGTCTATGATGATCTTCTTCGCTCCTTCTGCTGCTGCCGCCGCCATTGGCTTTCAGAGATTTTCTTTTCTCCCTCTTTTGTTTTTTCGGTCAGACGAGAAAGATTGAAGATGAGAGAAGGAACAAGAGATAACACAAAAAATGCCGTGAGCTTACGTGGTAAAGTTGGGCCTGGCTTGAGCTCTTCTATAACGGAACTTGTTTGGTTATTTGGCACAAATTTCATGAAGAGTCCCTGTACGTTACTTATGTTACGAAAGTAGTCCCTCCAGTTTTAATTTGCTTTTTAATATGAATCGCCATATATTAGTAAACATTTCCCTATAGTAGGGGATCTAAAAAAAATTAAGGCAGGCACAAATATGTAATAATAACATAATTTTTTGTATAAAGTGAACATAAATAAAATTTAAAGTAGACACGTGCCTACTAGGAACGAAGCTACAATCAAACATCGAGAAGGACAAGAATCTATTAAATATTTAAATAAAAAATGAGAAAATCAAAGGACTTATTTGATTAATATTTAAATAAAAAAATACTTAAAATGTTATTATACCAAAATATTTAAGAGAGGCTACAATCCCTCCATATAAAAAATGGCTCGGCTCTGATGCCCATCCTAGACTAAAGGTGGATCTACTATTGATTCCATAAACCACATCCTTGTCGGCCTAAGTAGAAATGTTGATGAAAAACCCATCAAGTGATCTCAACTGTACAAGGGAATATTGTTATTTTTAGAAATCATAAGTTTAAACAATTGTATCTATAAGATGTGTAATCATCCATACTATTAAAAAAGAAATGTTGATGTACACTTTGGTGGTTCAACACAAATATTGAATAATAATTGATAGTTGATCGAGTTGAGTAAAAAATTAGAGTTAGTATTATTTTATCATATAAAATTTATTTATTTTTGAATTGAATCAAATCAAATATATGTATATTAATTATTATTAAAATTTAAATACAACTATTTTTAATATTACAATACTAAACTCGAAGTTAGTTTAAAATTTAAATTTAGAAAAATTACGTGCTTAAAAAACTTTTTAAAGTTATATGATCAAAGTAGAACTAAACTCAAAGTTAGATGACCACCTTTGAACTTTATCCAAATATTTTTGTTCAAAGAAAATCATCGAACTGACACGTGCCATTTCCCTCGAGGATTTTGAATCGGCGGAGCCACCGGAGAGAACGGGAAAAAAATCAACAACAAAGCTTGTTCCTCGTAACATTGGCGTTGGCAATTTCTTCATTTTTTTGGGTAGAAAATCGAAGAGAGATGAAAGATATAGATCGAAAACGACTCCCAAAACTTAATCTCCTAGACGTTACGTTATGAACCTAATCCATTACGCTTCACGGATTTGTATTAACTGATCTGACCGGTTTTTATTTGTTTATTTTGTCGACTCTACGGTACTTACGTGTTTGAGTTTGTTTGTTGATCAACCAAATTTAATAGTTTACAGAAATGATTTAATCAGCAAAGGACAAACTTAGATACTTGACAAAAAGCTCGAAAATGTCGATTTTAATGGGTGCTTTCTTCATCATAGCACCATTAATGTCGTGAACCGATTTTGGTTGCATCGATGATGAGCTTGGAAATGGAACTTGGTTGAGCCCTTCAGCACCAAGATGGACTGGCTTGATGAAGGTTGAAACAAAGTCAGTGGACATAAAACCTTTGACTATTTTTAAAAAGTTGCAGAAGGAGGACGAAAGAAAACTCAGTCAAACAATCAAAGTTGATCCCACCATTGCCAAGGGATTCCAAAGGCTCACTTGAAGTGTTCAATCCACCGACTTTCTCGACCCGACCAATAACCCGGTAATTCGCTCGTAATCCCCTTCGCAAAACCTGGGCGAGCCAGGTGGTAGCCAAGAAGAAACTTACCGTTAGCATCCAAGTCTGGTTCAGTTGAAGAAGAAGAAGAAGAATGGGATGAGTTGACGAAGAACAAGGGCCGGTCAAAATGGTCTAACATGGTCAAATGATGCCAAAAAATCAGATTAACATGCCACATCAGCTTTCCGTCATATACAGTAACGTTTGTTAACGACAAGTAATCAATTTGTAACAAACGATAACGTTAATTACCTATTTGTAACTTTTTAAACATGAAAACAAAAATTTACTCAAACAATAATAATCATTTGAGCTTTTTAAATTCTATGTTTGAGTTATGTAATAAGAACTTTTAAGTTTTATATTTTTAATGTAACTTGTAAATAATATAATTTAAAAGAATAAAATAAAATAAAAATAAATTAGATATTCATGATTTAAAATTATGGATACTATTTTATTTCCATGATTTTTATCGATACTATTTTATTAGTGGGTTAAATTTATTAAATTAATTTTAATTAAAATAATGATCAATCCGATAAAATGTATAAACAATAAGAATAAAAATGTGTTATTGTCCTAATTAGGTCTAAATTAATAAGATATATAAGTAACGAAGATAAAATATATTATTATATAAATTTACTTAACTGCTAATATAATGGCAACAATTTCGTTAACAATTAACTATCCATGACTTGATTGAAACCAAATTAAAAATTTAGTGATTTAGTTGATAAATTTTTTGTTAGGCAATCAAAACAAAATCAACCTTGTAATTTTTTTTTAGATTTTTGAAATATACTGAATTTTGTTGAAACAAAAGAAGATATAACTTTAATAATGCAACCAATCACATAGAGAATTTTAGGGACCATGTCCATATAAAATACTCAAATATAAAATAAAATGAAATAAAAAGAAAACTCAAAGACGCAATAACAGTTGAAGTATTCTTTCGAATCTGACATTCATCGTCTATAATAACTTAGTATAGTACTCCTTATTTAATTACAAATATGTTAATTTTTTCTATATTTTTTTTACAAGTGGATTTTTTGTGATTCATTAAAGACATCAATGCTGCCAACCAGCTACGGAAGGTATTTCATAGCTCGGAGGTCTTCTACGGAAGTTGTTTTCAATCTGGTGTTGGGGGCAACCTACTATCTTACCTCCCCTTACCCCATTACATATGGGAATAAGGGACATCCAAAATCTGCCAACCAACTAGTGTAATAAGTTAAAAGTGTATGACGTGTTCTTCCTATTTTCCGGCTGTTACATAGCAAAGAAAGGTGACTTCTATCCATTGTTTTGAAAATTAGACCGACCGGTCGGTTTAATCGAGAATCGTTGCCTAGTCCGGTTCAATCTAGACCGGTTGAACCGCTATTAGTGAACCAGCCAAAACCGCTGAACCGTTCAAACCGGACCGGCTGAAAACCAGGAAAAACCAAAAAAAAACCGCCAATTTTATTTTATTTTTAAATTAAACCAAATGACGTCGTTTGTTAAACGAGCCAAGTCGAACTCAAATATTGCTGAGCTCGACTCGAACTTGAAAAAATTTAAAAGTAAGCTCAACTCGATTCAAACTCACGAGCTAAAAATTATGAAGTTTAACTCGAACTCGAAATATAATACTGAAACTTGAACTCGAAAAGGCTTAAACTCAAAAAAAAATTAGAAGCTCGATTGAAGCCTAAAATTCGAGCTTGATTGAAGTGAAAGAATAGTTCACTCAATGCTTACTAAAAGGCTCCATGATTTTGAATGCCAAATTACCTCTATTATTTATAGAAGTTAGTTGGGATGATCTTCTATGTTTCTTAGCCATGTGAGATTGTTTTAAAAAAAAATTAAACCAAACAATATCATTTTGTTATGATTTTTTTAGCCCCAAATTTATTTTTTAATTATAGTTATATAATAATTATATTTATTATTTAATATGTTTTACCTTAAATATTATGTTGTAGTTAATTTGAATCATTTTGTTTCACTTGATTTTATGGTTTTTAACATATATTTTTAGTATTTTTATTTAATTTTTTAAACAATTAAGCTTGGCCATTAAAAATTGAAGCTGGGACCATACTTTGTAAACTATGCATTTAGTATCTAGCCAATCAGTTTTAGTTCGTTTTAGTATATAAATTTTTAATTTTTTTTAAAATCATACTTGACGTTTAGTTTTTTAAAAAGAAATAAAGGTTTAGGTATTAAATCAGACAAAAACTAATGATTTAGGTATTAAACACGTAATTTATCCTTTTTTTATAATATTACATAATTTATATTATATGAAAGTAAATATAAATAATTAGGGATGGATTTAGGGGGAGCGGGTGGGGGCAATTGCCCCCTAAAAGTATAAAATTATTATATACTTTTTTTATTTTTTCTATGTATTTTCTATTGAACATCTGTTTTCATCCCTTAAAATTTTACAAGTTCAAGTTCGCACCCAACTTAAAATCCTACATCTGTCCCAATAAATAATATCAAAAATATGTTACACTGTTTATGTTTAAAAAGCTTATAGAAAAATGATATGAATTACATAAAACAAGTTTGGTTTACTCATCAAAATATAAATAAAAATTTAGAATGTCAAATGATACTTTTTATACTGAAACTATTAAAATAAAATATTATATCTATCTTTATTTTATTTTTTCTGTTCTCATTCTTAAACATTTTTATTAAATTGAGTCAACTGACAAAAAAATTAACAAAACTATTAAATTGATGTTAACTATTTTATATTGTTATCAATGTTTATGTCAGCTGTAACATGCCAAAATTCGGGTTAATAGTTTCAGGTTTATCCGAGAGGGTAAGTGTATCCCGCAAAAATTCTAATTTAAGTGTTGGGCTTAATTGGGTTTGAAATCGGGCCCAATTAGCAATAAAAATGAGATTATCTTTATTTTATTTTTTCTGTTTTCATTCTTAAACATTTTTATTAAATTGAGTCAATTGACAAAAAATTAACAAAATTATTAAACTGATGTTAACTATTTTATATTACTATAAATGTTTTTGTCATTTGTAACATGTCAAATTTGAGGTTAGTAGTTTCGAGTTTATCCGAGAGGGTAAGTGTATCCCGCGAAAATTCTAATTTAAGTCGTTGGGCTTAATTAGATTTGGAATCGGGCCCAATTAGCAATAAAAATGAGATTTTTTTATTGTAGAAAAACAAGGAATGACCAATTGCATAATTTTCCAATTTTTCAAAGATGAGACTTTATATGTTCTTTATCTTCTCC